TTGCTGTGGACATCCCGCAGGGAAATTAATCTGCTTCTGTAGTGTGCTGATAGCCATTGAACCTGATTCATGTCCCACAATGACCTTGCAAACTCAGGCTACCTCACCTGCTCCCACCCTGATAAGGCCAAAAAAAGTTCACAGTTTATTAATTTGAGAGAGAAAGAGTGCCCACCTTCTAGTTCAGTCCCCAGATGCCCACAACAGCCAAGGCTGGGTTCAGGAGCTAGGCACTCAATGCAGGTCTCCCGTGTGGATGACAGGAACCCAATCTCTTGAGCCATCAGTGTTGCCTCCCAGGGTCTGCAGTAGCAGGAAGCTGGAGTCAAGAGTTAGAGCAAGGTATTGATATGAGACACAAGTATCTTTGCTGGCATCTTGGCTACTAGGCTAAAAACTTACCCCCAAAAAAAGTTTAAAAATTCAGTGCCACTTTCTGGTATCTGTCATCCTGTCAAGGTCATGGCCCTCTCATGAATGGACTAGAGCTGCAAACATTACATTTTTACCTAAGCTTCTCTAACAAACTCATCATCATGTCTTGCTTTTTTGTTTCTAAATAGACAAACCAAACCACGCCATCCTTACCTGCCTGTTTGTAAAGTGATATTAATGAATACTTGCCCTCCCCTACCACTTAAAAATGTTGTGAAAATAAGGATAACTAAGAAGGATGTTAGATGACTGAATAAAAGAAAGAATGAATCAGTGAGAGAATCTTTTTTCCATAATCCCTATCACCACGCAGCGGATGGAGGAGATACTAAGCGTACCTCGATCAGTTGGGTAAGGAGGAGGTGTGGTGTCTGCCTTACAGGCAGTTAGTGGAAAATAAAGAAGAAAGCAAGGTTTCTACTGTGCAGCTCCTGAGTTGTTTTTCAGGTATGGAATCACCGACGGGGCTGCTGTGGCACAGTGTGTAAGCTGCTGCTTGTGATGTGGCATCCCATTTTGGAATGCCAGTCCACGTCCTGGCTGCTGCACTTCCAATGCAGCCTCCTGCTGATGTGCTTGGGAAGGCAGCAGAAGGTGACCCTAGTGCTTGGGCCCCTGCCATCCACCTGGGAGACCTGGGTGGAGTTCTGACTCCTGGCTTCCGCCCAACCCAGGCCTGGCTACTGCAGGTGTTTGGGGAGTGAACCAGTGGATGGAAGATCTCTCTCCTTACCCTCACCTTTCAAATAAATAACAATTTTTTTTTTTTAAAGATTTATATTATTGGCCGACGCTGTGGCTCAATAGGCTAATCCTCCGCCTGCGGCACAGGCACCCCAGGTTCTAGTCCCGGTCACTCCTCTTCCAATCCAGCTCTCTGATGTGGCCCGGGAGTGCAGTGGAGGATGGCCCAAGTCCTTGGGCCCTGCACCTGCATGGGAGACCAGGAGAAGCACCTGGCTCCTGGCTTTGGATCAGTGCGGTGTGCCAGCCCCAGCACGCTGGCCGCAGCAGCCATTGAAGAGTGAACCAACAGAAAAGGAAGACCTTTCTCTCTGTCTCTCTCTCTCACTGTCCACTCTGCCTGTCAAAAAAAAAAAAAAAAAAAAGATTTATATTATTTATTAGAAAGGCAGCGTTACAGAGAGAGAGGGAGAAAGAGGTCTTTCATCTTCTGGTTCACTCTCCAAATGGCTGCTATGGCCGGGTCTGGGCCAGGCCTAAGCCAGGAGCCAGGAACTTCTTCCAGGTCTCCCACGTGGGTCCAGGGGCCCAAGCACTTGGGCCATCCTCCACTGCTTTCCCAGGTGCATTAGCGGGGAGCTGGATTGAAAGTGGAGCAGCCAGGACTGGATCCAGCACCCGTAAGATACGCTGGCACTATAGGTGGCAGTTAACCCGCTATGCCACAGCACCGACTCCTAAATATTTTTTTAAAATAGTAACTGACAGGGTGATCTTGGATACCCCTTCCAAAAATCCATCATTTCAGTAGGGCTGGATTTGAGCTGATGCATCTGCACCTGCCAGGCTGTTCTGGGTCACCAGGCTTGGGCAGCTGGGAGGGCAGTAGCAGACCTGGAATGCAGTGTGTCAGGGTTGCAGAGTCATTTGAATAACAAACCAGGGCCGCCTTAGCCTCCTTAGCACTATGTGTCAACCAACAGCAGTAACGAAACAAGATAGCACATCTCAACAGATGTTCATGTTGCTTCTCAGGTCTGGGCACTTTGTTAGGTGCTACAGTTACAAAGATACATACACAGCTATTCTCGTCTGAGGCAACTGTGTTTCACTGGGGAGAAAGACACGTATAGGTGTAGTTTCAATAGGCCAACACTGTGAGAGCAGCTATAAAATTTTCCAACTATAAAGCCTAGAAAACATAAGAATTAGCCTTTATTGGGCATGTTTCATGTGCTAGACCTGTTTCACATGTCATTTCTTTTAGTGTTGGAAATGTTATAAGGCAGAAACTCTTAATGTCTGTTCTTTCAGAATAGGAAACTCAGGTTTAGACAGTGCTGTCCAATAGAACTTTTTGCAGTACTAAAATGGTCTAGCCCTGCACTGTCCAATCAGTAACCACTAGCCACGTGTGGCCATTGAGTACTTGAAATGTGATTGGTGCGATCCAAGGACTGAATCTGTGCTTTTTATTTGAATAACCACCTGTGGCCAGTGGCCTCTGTACTGGACAGCCCAGGCTCTACAAGGTTCTGCATGATCTGGCCGTCTAATGCCTCTGCTCGTTTCCTGATATTGTTTTCCTCACTCACTCATTCTAGCCACACTGAGCTCCTTCCAGTCCTCAAATACACGTAGCGGACCCTGCCAGGGCATGGCTCTCCCTTACCCCACCCAAGTTTTTGCTGAAATGTCACTTTCAGGAGGGGCATTGGGCCTAGTGGTTAAGATGCCCCCCACCCACACTGGAGTACATGGATCCAGTACCAGCTCTGGTTCCTGGAGCCAGCTTCCTGTTAATGCAGACCCTGGGAGACAATGGTGATGACTCAAGTAATTGGGTTCCCGCCACCCACATGGGAGACCTGGATTGAGTTCCCAGCTCCTGTCTTTGGCCTAGCCTGGCCTTGACTATTGCAGGCATCTGGGGAATGAACCAGCAAATGGGAACGCTGTGTTAATGTGTGTGTGTGTGTGTGTGTGTGCGTTTGTATTTGTCTCTACCTGCCTGTCTCTCTACCTCTTAAAAAAAAAAAATTAACATGTCACCTTCTCAAAGAGGTTCACTGTGACCACCCCTGAGACTTCCAGTCTCCCTACTTTTGGTTTTTTGTATCATTCCTATTGCTGGCATGTTCTGATTTATTATTATCCTTCCCACCTCTATCTGGTGTCATGAAGATTTTTTTTCTTATCTTCTTATTTATTGATATATATCTCTGGTATCAAGAATAGTGCCTTGAAAACAAGAGGTCTTCAAGAACTTTTTGGAAATATGTATTATGAGAAAACAATGCCTGGACTTCAAACTTTTTTTTTTATATCAAAACTTGCTTTTTTAAAAAAAGATTTATTTATTTGAAAGTTACAGAGAAAGAGAAGGAGAAGCAGAGATCTTCCATCTGCTAGTTCACTCCCCAAATGGATGGCCATAGTGGCTGGAGCTTTGCCTAGATCAAAGCCAGGAGCTTCGTCCCTGCCTACACGGGTGGCAGGGGCCCCAAGCACTTGGACCATCTTCTGCTACTTTCCCAGGTGCATTAACAGGGACCCAGAATGGAAGTAGAGCAACCAAGGATCGAACCCTGTACCCATGTTGAGATATAGACACTACAGGCAGTGGCTTAACCACTGCACCACAGCATAGACCCCTGACTTTTTTGTTTTTGTTTTTGTTTTTTTAAATACAGTCAGACAGCCAGGGATCTCCACACTGGATGGCCAGTGTTGTGGCATAGCATATTAAGCATCCCATACGGGCACCAGTTGGAGACCAGGCTGCACCACTTCCGATCCAGTTCTGTTGCTGCTTTTTGTGTGAGTGTAGTGTTCCTCCCAAAGTAAATAAAAGAAGCTTTATTTGAAAGTAAGAGGCAAAAGAAAGCAATTTTCCCTTTTCTGTCCGGTTTCACGGAATTGTTACTGCTGCCATTTGACAAAATGCTGTTTTCTAAAGGTAGTCCTGTAGCACATCAACTCCACCTAAAACGCTGTATATAGAGTAAAGAGAGAGGAGACTTTGTGTGATCTAGACTTAGCTGGAAGGGATCAGAACCCAACTCCCTTTATTGTCTTAGAGCCTGGCAGCGCCCGGCACTGGAAGTCACTCATCCTAAATGGATTTCCACTTGCCTCTGGCATCCAGATTGGTTCTGATCAACCTTTGTGGAATGTCAGGTCAGTCTGGCTAAGGGCAGAGTCTGCCTCCTGTTCTCAGGCTCTCTGCACAGCTGTGTGCCTGTACCTAGGTGGCAGTGTCCACCCTGCCACACTCACTCACTGGTTACACTGAAGCTCCTCGAGGTGGTTGTGTTTTTTTCTTTATTACATACCATTACATACTGCATCTTACTCTTACCACTAGCATAGAGCTTAGCATTTGTTTTAGTTAATTATTCACATATGTATGTCTCTTTCCAGTTGACTTTGAGCTTGTTAAGGGCAGAGCAGGGATCTATTCCTGTTTGTATTTCCATACTTGAGATGTTGTTAGCCCAAGGACGTATAGAATGAATGTGCATCAGCTGTTTAAATGGATGGCATTTGCAAAGTTTTTATTATATTGTTTTCTGAAATGAAGCAGTGGGTAACAGCTTTTCTTGCTTTCCCATAGTCTTACTGCAGATGGGACAGAAATCAGAAAAGCAGAGTTGAAAGGAGAGCAGGCTTAAGGTGATCAGGCACATTGTGTGGTGTTTTCATCGTGTGTGCAGATAAAGGGTTCTGGTCACTTTTCAACTTACCTAGGGCAACACCTCCAAGTCCCCTAGGAGGCTTATTACAGGTTCCCCTGGGTTTGAGTGACATTCTGAATTTGCTCAGGTAGAGGGGCCATTTATTCTGCTCCCAAGTGGCTAAATCTCTTCTTTTCTCCACAGGGAAACAACTGGAAGGCATCTGGTAAGTTGGGTAGAACTCCTTATGTGGACTGGTTTAACATAAAGCCACACCTTTTGCATTGCAGGTTCCAGGCTGGCTTCCAGCTTGAAATCTAGCTCTCTGTGTTGTAAATCTCCAAGCCCTAACGCAGAGGTTCTCCACCACCCTCCGTGATACTTGGCCACGTCCAGAGACATTTTCAGTTGCCACAACTTGGGGGAGATTGCTGCTGGCGTCTGAGGAGCTGGGGGTGTTGCTTAGCATCCTTGAAGGCACAGGATAGCCCCCACCACAAAGAATGACCCAGCCCCAAGTGCTAATAGTAATAATGCTAAGATGGAGAAACCCTGGCTTGGGGTACAGTCAGCCCTCCCTCTACACGAATTCCAAATCCACAGATTAACTAACTGCAAATTGAAAATATTTCGGGGGGAAACTGTGACTGCTCTGAGTCTCTACAGACTTTGTTTTTCTCTTGTCATTATTCCCTGAATAATATGCTACAACTGCTCTTTACGTAGCATTTACATCGTCTTAGATGTTCCCGGTAGCCCAGAGGTGACTTAAAGCATCTGGGAGAATGTGAGCGGGCTCTTTGTAAACTCTACTCCATGTTGTGTAAGGAACTTAGGCATTGGCGGCTATAGTGTCTTGCCCGCAGATACCAAAGGGTGACTCCGTCTAACTCCTGACTGGCCCACAGTCATCCGCTGGCAGAAGCGATTCTCCGCAGCGTGGCGTTAGCTTTCTGTCCTGTGGTGCTCGGTGTTCTGGCTCACGTGTCTCTCTGTGGCAGGCATACCTCCATAGTTGTGCACAAGGACGAGTTCTTCTTTGGCAGTGGTGGGATCTCCAGCTGCCCGCCGGTGAGTGTCTCCCCGTCCTGCAGCCTGGGGTTTCTGGGCTTCCCGTAGACCAGGTACTTCCCCGTGCTGGGCACCCGTGGCCTCTGGGAGTGGCCTTGGCACAGCTCCTCATAAGTGTCTCAAGTCAGGCTCGGGAAATCCTTTCCCAGATGCCTCAGCCAGTTGCCCTCTGCTTCTGCACCTGTGGGCGCCCTGTCTCACCGAGCGTCTCCAGGAAGCCATGTGTAAGCCGCTTTTGAGCTGAGGCTGCCCAGTGCCAGGCTCACATGGGCATTTTGTTGACGTGGGGCTGACGGATGAAACAGCAAGTGAGCTGCCCAAAGCCGCACAGGCAGTCGGTGGCCCCAGAGCCAGGACTCAGCGCTGTGTCTCTTCTCTGTCAGTCTGTCCTAAAGTTGTCACAGGTGCTCAAGCAAAAGCCAAGCAGGTGTTCATACTGATACTGTAAATGGGAAGTCATTCAGTTTCTTCCTCTCTGGATGCCCCTCTTGCCCCACCTCCTGTGACAAATCCCTCTCTAAGGCCGGTCACTTCTCCCTTGTAAATGTCTCTGCCTCTCTAGTCTCTTCCCGTTTCCCCAGAGCTCCCACCTGAGTCCAGGCCATCCGCACGTCTCTCCCTGGCAGACTGGGAAGGTCACCTGCCGTGTGTACGGGTGGTTTCCCAGGGAAGCCTTTCCTTGCAGCTTAATTGTGCACTGGCTAATGGGATGTTTTTGTCAGCCTTTCCTGGTGGATCGTAAGCCCCATGAGGGCAAGAATCTCCCGGTTTGGTCCACATCACACCCCCAGTGCCTAGCACAGGCACAGCACAGAGTACGTCCTCAACACGTGTCTGTTATACGAGTGAGTAATAGGGCGTCGAATGGTGATCTCTGAGTCTCTCAGAACTCTGAAATCATTCTCCAACTGCCATAATTGCCAGTCCTGCTCACCACACCTTCCCCCATGCCTAGAGCGGTATCAGCCACTTAGGAGGTGCTGAGGCTGGAATCAACCCGTTCTCTGGGTGCACTCCTCCCAGGTGTGACATCCACAGTACCCCCATTGCTTCCCCTTTGACTGGTCCCCACTTCACTGCAGCCTCTCCTTTAGTCCCCGGGACAGTCTGTTAGTCCCATGGCCAAGGGTTTCCTCTGGGGTCCAGGCCTCCCATTCATCCCCGTGCCCCACCAGTCTCATTACATTGCTCAAAGATTTGGCCGGCGCCGCGGCTCACTAGGCTAATCCTCCGCCTAGCGGCGCCGGCACACCTGGTTCTAGTCCCAGTCGGGGCGCCGGATTCTGTCCCGGTTGCCCCTCTTCCAGGCCAGCCCTCTGCTGTGGCCAGGGAGTGCAGTGGAGGATGTCCCAAATACTTGGGCCCTGCACCCCATGGGAGACCAGGAAAAGCACCTGGCTCCTGGCTCCTGGCTCCTGCCATCAGATCAGCACGGTGCGCCGGCCGCGGCGGCCATTGGAGGGTGAACCAACGGCAAAGGAAGACCTTTCTCTCTGTCTCTCTCTCTCACTGTCCACTCTGCCTGTCAAATAAAAAAATAAAAAAACATTGCTCAAAAATTTTAAAAAAAAACCCTGAACTCTGGAAACGGTGGCCACGTGTGGGCTTCACACAGGGACATCAAGTGTGTCACAGAACTCTGGCCGGGACCTTGTGAATGTGGGCCCTGAGAGACGGCCTCTCACGTCTGCGCCTTCTAGCTGTCCTGCTCTGTGCCGGGGACAAGAGGACGCTTCGGCTGAAAGAGTGGCGCGCGGGAGCAGTCGGACCTGCAGGGGAGGCAGCCTCCCAGGCCCCACGGGAAACAAGGAGGCTGACTTCTCAGCCGCACTGCCGGCATTCGGCGTGGGGGTGGGGTGTACACCAGGCAGCACTGAGTGAGTGGGCCCTCCGTGCCACCAGCACTGACACCCTTCACCTGCCCGGGTGCCCTGAGCACTAGTGAAAGGTGAAGGTGCTGGAGCAGGGCCTGTGGTCTGCAGTGGGAACTCCGCAGGGATGGTGACTTAATGGCTCTCTTTGGGTTGGCTCTTTTAGGGAGGGACGTTGCTTGGGCCCCCAGACTCTGTGGTTGATGTGGGCAGCACAGAAGTCACAGAAGAAATCTTTCTGGAGTACCTGTCCTCCCTGGGGGAGTCTCTGTTCCGGTGAGTGGAGACGGGGTGGTGGTTGCTCGTGTCTGTCTCCCCCACTAGCTAACCCGCCCCTGGGGGATAGCCACCGTGTCTGATGCCCCAGAATTCTCAGCACGGACCTGGCCCAGTTTTTGCTGAAAGCATGTGAAGAGAAGGACGTTATCATGCTACAAAAAAAAAAAAAAAAAAACAACCACCTCAGCCTGTTCCCGGGCAGATAGCCCGTCCCTGCCTGCTTGCCGCTGAGACTTTCAGATGAAAGGGCTGCCCCTCGCTTTCAGTTAGAATCGGCAGGTGCCGCCCTCGGCCTCTGTCGGCAAGCGCTTTGTCCTGCGCGTCAGAAGAGGGCTTGCCGGGGCGGGGGGGGGGGGGGCGACGCAGGACAGACTGGGGCAGATTCGCTCTTGAGCAGCTCGGGTTGTTTCGGTAAGGGCTGAACTCTGACCCCGGAGCTGCCTCCGTGAGTAGAAGGCGCTGCTGAAGCCACAGGCGTTCACTGCTTCATTCCATCTTTCTCTTATAGTCACTTTTTAGGGGTGAGCACTGTGACACAACAGGTTAGGCTGCCACTTGGGGTACCCGCATCCCGTATCAGAGTGCTCGTTCGAGTTCAGCTCCCCGTCAGTGTGCCTGGGAAGGCAGCAGATCACACGCTCAAGGGCCTCAGTTCCTGCTGCCCACGTGGGAGACCCAGCTGGCGTTCTGAGCGCCTGGCTTCAGCCTGGCTCCGCCCTGGCTGTCGTGGGTATTTGGTTAGGAAATCAGTAAATGCAAGATCTCTCTCTGTGTCTCTCCCTCTCCCTTTCTTTTTTAAATAAATAAGTTTGTTTTTTTTAAATCACTTCGTAATGGTCCAGAGTGGCAAACCAAACAGTCCTTTTGGCGTGTATGAGGGGCAGTCACAGACCTCCCTTTGAGCTGTGCTCACTGCCACCTAGGAACTCCACGTGGGTGCTTGCTGGTTCCTCATATCTTCTCCGATCCTCTCTCACTGTGTCCAGAGGTGAGGCCTACAACCTCTTTGAACACAACTGTAACACCTTCAGCAACGAAGTGGCACAGTTCCTGACGGGGCGGAAGATCCCTTCTTACATCACTGACCTGCCCTCTGAAGTTCTCTCCACGTAAGTATAGCTCTGTCTCGGCCCCGGTCTCAGCCAACTTTGAAAATCCCCAGTCGCAGTCAGCGCCCCTCCTCTGGCCCACGCCTGCCCTCCCCTGATTGCGGCAAGTCTTCCCGGCCAGGCCGTCCAACACAGATAGCCACCAGTCTCCCCACCCACTGATGCACACCTGCATGGCCTCCACCTCCTCGGGTTAGACCAGCTCTGCCCTGGCCAGGGTGCAACCATAGAACCTAGAAACTCACATGACAGCAGCTTCAGTGTTTGTACAAAGTCCTGCCGTCTGTCTTCCCCATTGTGCACAAAGCATGCCTCCTGCCAGAAACACCCATTAGATGCAGGGTTAGGTAGAAGAGAGCAGAGGGCAGGGCGGCTTGTTCTGGGACCGTCGCTTCCTCCCCCTGCACCACGAGCCCTTTGACTCCCTCCAAAACCGCGTTCTCCGGTGGCGCTGTCAGCCCTTAGTAGACGTTTGCTTCCCCCTGATTTGGTCTCCATCATCCAGGCAGCGTCCCCTGAAAGGGCGCACCCGCCTCCAGAAGCCATGTTTGCTGCGTGCTGCTGTCAGACAGCCTCTGCCCACTCCAGTGCCGTGTCCATTTGCTTAGACAAACTCTGACTCGGTTTCTCCCAGAGTCCTGTCCAACAGGGATCCCAGCAGGTTGAGCAGGCCTAGCAAGGTGAGATGTTTTCACACCTGGGGAGGCACCTCTCAGGAAAACTAGCACAGAACTCGAAGCTGGTGAGGAGTCCCAGCCTCCCAGCCCTGGCCCTGCCCTCTGGCCCTTGGTGGGTGTTAAACCCCACAGCCCTCCAGAGCTATCTCAGGGGTCCCTGAGCACACCTGAGTAGCTGGAATGTTCTTGCTGTTACTAGCTGCTGGGTGGAATTCGGGGACTTGTCTGAATTAGAGTTGATAGCTCAAGGTTCTGTCTGTTTACACTTTGGGGCACTTCATTCCTTTTGACCTTGGGGATGATTTTCAAAGATAAAGTCTCCACCTCCGCCAGTGCCGGAGAGCTGTGTGGGCAACCTTGGAAAGTCTCCGGCTCCACGGCTGGCAGCGCTTGTCCCAGTTAAGTTAGTATAAGAGCAACCTGGAGCCCTTCAGAAAGTGACACAGTGCCTGGCGGCAACCCGGCATCTGTCGTCTTTCCTGAATAGTCCCTGTAGTGCTCGGAAGACCTCGGTTCCTGGAAAAATCCAGTGCTGCCCTCCTCACCTTCTTTTCATCCTCATCCTTGTCACATCCTTTTCCTTTGCCTCAGCTTCCTCACTTCTACTTCACTTTTACCTTCTTGTTCACAAGAATTAAAGATGCAGGTACAGAAAGCCCAGTCCCACCTGTAGCCAGCCTGTTCAAACCAGAGCTGACCAGCTTCTAGAGGCGTGAGAAGCGAGAGGGCAGAGCTCACTGGGGCGGACTCGGGATTGAGATTAGAGCCGGCCGCGTGTTTCCGAGATGCCCTCTGAGAAAGCTGGCGTGGGAGGCGGTTGCGAATGCAAAACTCCGGAGTGGCAGCTGCCATCCTCCTCCCCTCAGCCCAGCTCACGGCTCTGTCTCCCTGCAGGCCCTTCGGACAGGCACTTCGGCCCCTCCTGGACTCCATCCAGATCCAGCCTCCTGGGGGGAGCACCGTGGGCAGACCCAACGGCCAGAGCTAACAGGACCGCATGGGACCGCCCTGCCTCACCAGGGCTTTTCCTTTTTAAACAAAACAAACCCTACCAGATTTCTATTTTATAATTTTACATCAGAGCTAACAACCAGGGGACGGCTTTTTAAATATCCCAGGGAAGGAGATCACCAGGCTGCACATGGGACAATGCTGCTAAGGAACAGAACAAAATGCCACCCCTTCCAATAGTATTACACTAATTTATTAAGGCTGTCTTGTCTGTGAGTTCACTTTTGACGCTGTTTCCCAAGCGTCCTCCACACTGGAGAGGGGGGTTGGTTAAGTAGCAAGCAAGAGGCACAATGTGGGGAGCCCCAGCCTGGAAGTTCTTTCCAGAGAACACCCATGCTGCACCCAGCTTGCCGGCACCCGTGGGAGCCAGGTGAGTCCAGCCACATCCGTGCCCCAGGAGCAGTTAAATGAACCAAAGGATTTGGCGCACGGTGACTAGCCCAGCCTAAGTGAACTCAGCTACGACCTCGCTCCCTTCCCTCCCCAACCCCAGCAAAGCTGTGGGGCCAGAGCTGGAGCAACCAGCACCTCAGGACTGAGGGAGAGTGACAGCAAGGACCAGAGCAAACAGGACAAAGCCATTCCTCCCTGCACCGAACTGATGGCCAGGCCTGGACCATCAGTTCTGGAAAACCTGTCCGGCCGCCCTCAGACCACTCGCTGGCACAGCTGGCGAAGGTCTGCGCTGCAGGGCGGAAACCAGGCCTTGTGCTGCAAATCCTGGTGCAGGTCATCTGTAGCCCTGTAACCACCCGTCCAGACCGATACGCAGGCTGCAGCTGGGGACCAAGAGGGCTGACGCCCGGCTCTAGGAAAACATCTCTGACGTAGAAAGAATTAGCGGTGCAGAATCCAGGTGGCAAGAAAGCTTAGAGCTGTTTCCGCTGGAAACTTGACCCTGTCCTGACTGTCCCGATGCACCTGTTATCACGTTGTCATTCCGACTCAGGAAGCACGAGTGGGCATTCTCCCGAGGACTTGTGCTGGGAGTCTCTGACCTGAAGAGACCCTCGCGTTCCCTCCTGTCACGTGAGCCTCCCTCCCGTCAGTCGGGCTTGGAGGAGGATGTGAGGGGACAGGACCCAGGCAGCCCGAGTCAGCCCCGGCGTGCTCACGCCCCTCCTGCTCGGCTCCTGCCCTTCGCAGACTGTGCTGCTCCTCCCCGGAAAGCTGCTGCCAGCTCTGGCCCGTCCCCTGCCGCCTTTGCCATGAGCCGTAGCAGTTGGCCTCATCAGGGGCTCAGCTAAAGGAAGGGGGGGTGCCTTCTGCCCTAGTGTTGCTGGGACCTCACTGGGGGCACGTCCAGCCGGGACATCAAGTGACGCTTTAGAACTGTAAGGTCGGAGCATCTTTAGTTTTTCTCAAGATGCAGTCACTGATTCAGTGTGCACGCAGTGATCAGCTGGAGCAAACGCTGGCAGGGACCGTTGTTTGCTGGTCCTCGTAGCAGGCTCAGTCCCCAGAGGGTGAGTTTCAGAGGCTGGGTTTCCTCTGGGAGAGGCAGGGTGTTGGTTGAGGCCATCGCTCTGCTTCCCACCAGCTTCTTCCTTTTCCAGCGTTCCTTGTCCGGCCCCTCGCCCCCAGCCTCCTGCTCCAGTCCTCTCCCCTGTCTCCAGAAGGTGCTGGGCTTTCTCCTCTCCCACATCCAGGCGCAGCCAGTTGGCTCCTTCCTGCAGTCCCTCAGACCCAGCGCTGTTCTGAAAAGTCAGCCCAAGTGACGCCCCTAGAGAGTCGGAGTCACCCCTGTTCGTGCCCAGCAGCATTCGTGCCAATGCCTGTGCCCTGGGGCTTGTGGGGAGACGGAGGGACCATGAGCAGTCTTGCCAGGGCTTTGCAGGAAGGCAGGCCCCGCCGTCGCTGACTGGAAGCCCAGGCTCAGGCTCCGACCTCCCCCGCCCCGTCCTCACCTTTCGCTGTCTCGCCCAGAACCTCAGGAGCGTGCTCATTGTGACCAGCTAACTCCGCATGGGCGTGGACAGGCAGAGTGGAACGGGGTCACGTACTGTGTCAAGTGGACACCTCCGTAGAGGTCCGTTGGTTGAAAGGGACAGGGAGGGGGGAGGGAGGAGGGAGGAGGCCGCACCCCTTCCCTGAAATAAAGCTTGCACCTGAGATTTGTTCATGCCCTCCAAGTCAAACTAATAACTGTGTCTAGTATGGAGGTGTTTGCTGGTTTCCTTTGATGTTTTTTCTAATGCAATAAACTCATGTCTGCCTGCTGCGTTTGTGTAGTGCTGAATCCTGGCCGGGACGCTTCCAGCATGAAGCTGCTCCGGCTTTCTAGGTGTGCCTCCCACTGAGTCTGGGCGTGCCACTGCCCTTGACTGTGAGCCTTGTGGTTAGGAAGTGAGGACGGCAGGGACGGGTTGGTAAAGATGGAGATAGGGCCCAGAGAGAAAGCTGCTTGTCCAAGGCTACCTCGTAGCTGGTGGAGTAAGACTCGAGCCTGGTCTGCTGACTCAAACTCTAAAGTCTTCCCTGGAGGACCTCGGCCATTGAATAAGTGTCTGACCTCACCAGGAAGTGTTCAACTTTAATTCCAACCTGGCTATAGGTTGGGTCTGTGGCTGGGGGATCTCTCCCCACCTTGCTACCATGACCAAATTAAACAAATATAGCTCAGTTCTGAGCACACCCTGCTACTGCCACATGTGCCAGCGTTTGGGACCAACGCCTGGAACCAAAAACTTGATCCAGACCTCCCACATGGGTGGCAGGGACCCAGTTACTTGAGCCATCACCACTGTCTTCCATCAGCAAGAAGCTGGAATAGGTAGAGGTAGGACACCAGGTGGCGCTGTGGACCTGCACACCTGGCCCAACACACTGGCGAAGTTTGAGTTTGCATTACCCTAGACCCCCCCCCCTCACTAAACCTGCTGTGCTCCAACACACCAACCCTGTGTGGCCCCCAATTGTCCCCATGGTAACAGCCAAGCTCCTTACCCTTCTATGACTTGTACTGGGTACCCTGGTGCTATGTGGCCACCCCAGTCTGTCGGGGCTCCCCCTTGGGGTGTTTTCACCACCTCCACTCCTATTTGCTCCACCTGGGTTCCCTTTCCGCGTGGCACTGCCTAACGTGCCTAAGGACCCAGCACCAGCCTGTCCTGTACAAGCTTTGCCAGCTCCTTCCAGCCCAAGCTCCCGAGCAGGCCTGCCACAGGTGGCACCACTGAGTGTTAGGGACGAGGCACCTCTGGACCTGAATTCAGAGCAACCTGGGCTGAGCTTCTGCTCTGAGACCTTGATCAAGGCCTTCCGCTCTCAGGACCCCAGGTCCATCATCTGTAGAATGGATTCCTCCCCTACCGCAGCTTGACAGGGGAAGAGACCCCACCAACCCCAGGCCCCGGGCACCGGAGGTGGGCAGGGCCATCTCTGTCCCCACTGATTTCCACTGAGGGAGTGTCCCCAGGGAGCCTGAGCCAGCCCAGCAACAGGCTCCACCCCTCATACCAACACTATCTCTGGGTTTGTTTAATTCAGAGCACTTGTTTACTGGGAAGACAACTTAAGCTCTCCAGGCATTTTGAAAGGAAAAAACCAAAACAGCCAACATGGCGTCTCCCCACCTGATGTTCACAGAGCCTCTTTAACTCCGCTGCATCCCCTGTCCTCCCAACAGTCCCCTGGCAGGGCTGATCCCATTTAATGGGTGAGGAACAGACACTGTGTCAAAGAGATCTGCCCAGAGTCACCTGGACAGAGGGACAGTCCCGGGAGCTGTCCGTGTGACTGTTGACCTCACTACACAGAGGCTGCCCCTACACCAGGGCTGCCCACCCACGAAAGGCCACACCCAGGCAGAAACAAGGGGGTCAGTAGCTCCCGTACCCCAGGGACAGCATACTGCTCCCCGGCCTTTACCAACAGCCAGGAACTGGGGGACAGCGCAGGCCTCGGGGGAACTGTGCTGTGTTTTCCTGGGAAGGTCACTGCACTCTCTGGTGCCAATGCCTGTCTATGGAAACCACATGCACACCTTAGAGGGCTGGGTGGGGGGGTGGGGGAGACAAGTGCAGTGTGCAAGGAGGGAATTGCACAGCCCAAACCCGAGTGCGAGTCACTGACCTCCAAGCCTCAGCCTCACGTCTGGCCCAGAAGCACAGGGTCTTCCTCTGCAGCATCCCGGCAGGCTGGGGGCCCCGGACTGCTGCCCTCAGCCCCGGCTTCCTCTGGTGTCCTCAAAGCCGCCCCTCTGGCCAGTCCTCCCCCAACCCAGTCCTGCTCCTCCTTTTCCCCAGAGCCTCCCCAGGCCCCATCTGAGTACCAGTTGCCAGGGCATGAGCCCTCCTCTTAAAGGGACACACTGGCATCCCAAGGGCTTCCCCCTGGTCCTCCTGGGTCTGTGCGCAGACCAGCCGCTTCCCTCTCTGGCTGTGGTAGGGGCTCGGGAGAGGCGTTGGGAAAGACATCTTCAAGGGGCCAGTTCTGAGGCTAAGGCGTGGTGGGGCTGCTTTCGGACAAGGGCACTTACCTCTGTCTTTGCAAAGCCCCTAGGAGACCAAAAGCCATCCTGTCCCGGGGCCACAACCCACAGCTTCCAGCTCCAGGCCAGGAGTGGGGCTGGGGAATCCGCAGTTAACCAGCTCCCTAGGAACTGCGAGGCAACGCAACAGGCATGGCTGAGGTATTAGGGAGCAAGTCTGGCTGCCTGCAGCGCCCCCCTGAGCACTGGATGAGCTTGGCCCTGGGAGAGGTCTGGGCCCCGCCAGCACCCAGAGTGACAGGGGCCAGGTCGGGGTGGGGCAGGATGTGCAAGGGAAAGGGTTGATCTTTGCTCCCACCAGGAGGGTCTGGACACGATGTTCTTTCTGCAGCCAACAGAAAACAGAAGCGCCTTGAGGGCACACCCTCGTCCCCTGGCCCCAGAACACAGGGTCTGCATGAAGAACCTGTCTCCACTGTGGGCCTGGAGGTGATGGCTGATTTCTCCTGTGGCCTCACACTCCAGTATCTCTCCTCTGCACAACCCTGGTAATCTGTCTTTGACATTTTGGATATGTTGTTAGATTTGGGTTTTTTATTTTATTTTTTAAAATATGTATTTATTTATTTGAAATCCAGAGCAGCAGAGAGATTGAGAGAATCTTCCAACCACTTGTTCATTCCCAAGATGGCCACATGGCTGAGGCTGGATCAAGCCAAAACTAATAGCCTAGAATTCCATCTGGGCCTCCCACATGGGTGGCAGGAGCCCAAGCACTTGGGCCATCTTCTGCTGCCTTCCCAGGTGCATTAGTAAGGGAACTGAATCGGAAGCAGAGCAGCCAGCACTCGAACCAGCATTCCTATATGGGTGGCTGGCATTGCAAGCTGCAGCTTAACCCACAGCAATGCCAGCCCCTAATTTACTTCTTTAAAATGTTTATTTATTTAAAAGGTAGCATGGGGGATGGCATTGTGGCGCAGAGGGTAAAGCTTCTGCCTGTGACACCGGCATCCCATTTGAGCAAGTTCAGTGTGCTGCTCAAGTTCAGGCTGCTCCACTTCCGGTTCAGCTCCCTGCTGGTGTGCCTGGGAAAGTGGCGGAAGACGGCCAAGTACTTGGGTCCCTGCCACCCACATGAGAGACCCAAATGAAGCTTCTGCCTTCTGGCTTCAGCTTGGCCCAGCCCCAGCCATTGCAACCATTTGGGGAGTGAACTGGCAGATGGAAGATCTCTCTCTGCCTCTTCCACTGTCTCTGTAACTCTTTAAGTAAATAAATAAATCTAAAAAAAAAAAAAACCACGACAGAGAGTGGGGGAAAGACAGTAACAGATCTTCCAGAAGCTGGCTCATTCCCACCAAGAGTCTGGGACTCATCTGGCTCTCCCACCTGGGTTACAGGGGTTCAAGTACTGGAGCCATCTTCTGATGCCTTCCCAGATGAATTAGCAAGAAGCTGGCCGGCGCCGCGGCTCACTAGGCTAATCCTCCGCCTAGCGGCGCCGGCACACCAGGTTCTAGTCCCGGTCGGGGCGCCGGATTCTGTCCCGGTTGCCCCTCTTCCAGGCCAGCTCTCTGCTGTGGCCAGGGAGTGCAGTGGAGGATGGCCCAGGTGCTTGGGCCCTGCACCCCATGGGAGACCAGGAGAAGCACCTGGCTCCTGGCTCCTGCCATCGGATCAGCGCGGTGCGCCGGCCGCAACGCGCCGACCGCGGCGGCCATTGGAGGGTGAACCAACGGCAAAGGAAGACCTTTCTCTCTGTCTCTCTCTCTCACTGTCCACTCTGCCTGTCAAAAAAAAAAAAAAAAAAGCTGGATCAGGGCCGGTGCCGCGGCTCACTAGGCTAATCCTCCACCTTGCGGCACCGGCACACCGGGTTCTAGTCCCGGTCGGGGCGCCGGATTCTGTCCCGGTTGCCCCTCTTCCAGGCCAGTTCTCTGCTGTGGCCCGGGAGTGCAGTGGAGGATGGCCCAAATGCTTGGGCCCTGCACCCCATGGGAGACCAGGAAAAGCACCTGGCTCCTGCCATCGGATCAGCGCGGTGCGCCGGCCGCAGCGCATCAGCCGCAGCGGCCATTTAGGGAATGAACCAACAGAAGGAAGACCTTTCTCTCTGTCTCTCTCTCTCACTGTCCACTCTGCCTGTCAAAAAAAAATAAAATAAAATAAAAGAAGCTGGATCAGAAGTGGGGTAGCTGGGACTCAAACAGGCACCCCAGTTTGCTGTTGCACCACAGTGCCCTCCCCCCCAACCTTTTATTTTAAACGCAGAGAGACAGACAGACACACACACACACACACAGTGCTTCTACCCTCTGGTTTACTCCCCAGATATCCTCAGAACAGCTGGGGCTGGGCCAGACCAAAGCCAGGAGTCAGGAACTCAATCTGTGTCTCCCACATGGATGGTAGGACTCAACCACTTGAACCATCATCAGCCGCCAGGAAGCTGGAATCGGAGCTAGAGTCAGGAATCCAACCCAAGCACTCCATCTAATGCAGCATGTGGATGTCAAAACTTCTAGGCCGGACACCCACTCCGGGAGAGAGGTTTTCATAGACAAAAAGAAGGCTGAAGAAAGCAGACTCAAAATCAAAAAGTGCCCTGATCGTTTCAAAGCTACACAGGGCTGGGGAGACAGAGCAATGGAGAAACAATGGGTTGATTAAGTTGCTTTTTCTGTGTAGGGACTAAAGCAGGGCCCAGCATTGTGGCATGAGGGGGTTAGCCACTGTCTACAATGCCATCATCCCACATGGGCACCAACTGCTCCACTTCCAACCCA